TGATGAGGGGAGGGGGACGATTATGATGATAATGACGGCGATGATGATGATGATGGTGATGATGATGATGATGGTGATGATGATGATGATGCAGATGATGATGATTATGATGATGATGTTGATGATGATGCTGCTGGTGATGATGTTGATGATGATGATGATGGTGGTGGTTGCGGTGATGATGACGATGAAGATGAAGATGAAGATGAAGATGATGATGATGATGATGATGATGATCATGCAGATGATGATGATTATGATGATGATGTTGATGATGATGCTGCTGGTGATGATGTTGATGATGATGGTTGTGGTTGTGGTGATGATGATGACGACGATGAAAATGATGATGATGATGATGATGATGATGATGATGATGATGATGATGATGATGATGATGATGATGATGATGATGATGATGATGATGATGATGATGATGTTGATGATGATGATGATGATGATGATGATGATGATGATGATGATGATGATGATGATGATGATGATGATGATGATGATGATGATGGTGGTGGGTGGTGGTGGTGGTGGTGATGGTGATGATGATGATGATGATGATGGTGGATGATGATGGTGAGGAGGAGGAGGAGGAGGGGGAGGAGGAGGGAGGAGGAGGAGGAGGAGGAGGAGGAGGAGAAGGAGGAGGCCCGTTCCGCGTGAGACATCCTCGGAAGTCTTGGCTCCAAGATGCCGCGGCTTGAGATGATCTGGGCACCCTCGCCTACAGGGCATCCTCACCACTCCGGGTTCGCAAATGCGGGTCTCGAAATCTTCCGGCCAGTTCCGCGCGGGACATCGTCGGCACAATGGAGGCCGATATGTTTTGACATGAGGTGATTTGGCCACTTTCGCCTGAGACATCCTCGCAATTCTGACCTCGGAGATGCCTTGCCTCATGGTGGCCCAGCCACTTTCGCTTGAGACATCCTCGCAACTCTGGGTTCCGAGACGCTCTGAGCTGAGGTGGTTAGACCACTTTCGCCTTCAACATCCGCACAACTCTGATCTCGGAGATGTCCTGCCCCATGGTGGTCCAGCCATTTTCGCCTCAGACATCCTCGCAAGTCTCGGTTCTGATATGCCCAGAGTTGAGGTGGTCAGGCCACTGTCGCCTGAGACATTCTCGCAGCTCTGACGTCTGACTCTCGTACTCTTTCGCCTGATACCCTCACAACTCTGGGTTCCCAGATGCCCTGAGCAGGTGGTCATGCCACTCCTGCCTGAGAGATCCTCGCAATGCTGGGTTCCGAGACGCCCTGAGCTGAGGTGGTCAGACCACTTTCGATCCGATAATCCTCTCCTCCCTCCTCCTTCCTCCTTCCTCCTCCTTCCTCCTTCCTCCTTCCTCGTCCTCCTTCCTCCTTCTCCTTCCTCCTTCCTCCTTCCTCCTTCCTCCTTCCTCCTTCCTCCTTCCTCCTCCTCCTTCCTCCTTCCTCCTTCCTCCTCCCCTCCTTCTCCTTCCTCCTCCTCCTCCTCCTCCTTCCTCCTTCCTCCTCTCCTCCTCCTTCCTCCTTCCTCCTTCCTCCTTCCCTCCTTCCTCCTTCCTCCTTCCTCCTTCCTCCTTCCTCCTTCATCCTTCCTCCTTCCTCCTCCTCCTCCCTCCTTCCTCCTCCTCCTTCTCCTTTTTCCTTCCTCCTCCTCCTTCCTCCGTCTCCGTCTCCTCCTCCTCCGTCCTCCTCCTCCTTCCTCCTCCTCCTCCTCCTCCTCCTTCCTCCTCCTCCTTCCTCCTTCCCTTCCTCCTCTTCCTCCTCCTTCCTCCTCCTCCTCCTCCTTCCTCCTCCTCCTCCTCCTCCTCCTCCTTCCTCCTTCCTCCTTCATCCTCCTCCTCCTCCTCCTCCTCCTTTCCTCCTCTCCTTCCTCCTTCCTCCTTCCTCCTCCTCCTCCTCCTCCTTCCTCCTTCCTCCTTCCTCCTTCCTCTTCCTCCTGCTCCTTCCTCCTCCATCCTCCTTCCTCCTTCCTCCTTCCTCCTTCCTCCTTCCTCCTTCCTCCTTCCTCCTCCTCCTTCCTCCTTCCTCCTTCTCCTTTTTCCTTCCTCCTCCTCCTTCCTCCGTCTCCTCCCTCCGTCCTCCTCCTCCTTCCTCCTCCTCCGTCCTCCTCCTTCCTCCTCCTCCTCCTTCCTCCTTCCTCCTCCTCCTTCCCCCTCCTCCTTCCTCCGTCTCCTCCCTCCGTCCTCCTCGTCGTCCTTCCTCCTCCTCCTTCTTCCCATAGGTGATATACAGTTTTTTTTTGTGTTGCAGCGAGAGCTGGTTGGTTGGTTGGTTGGTGGTGGTGGGGAGGGGGTGGTCCGCACGGGGCGGCAGGTCCGGGTTGCGCGGAAGGGGGGAGCCCAGGAGAGGAACCGGGGGTGACGGGGTCGCAGTCCCGGGGTGTACCTTGTTGTTGTTGTTGTTGTTGTTGTTGTTGAATATTATTACTTCTAAAGAATAATTATTGTTGGGCCCCCTGGTGCACGCCCCCCCCGCCGCGCCTAGGCCGCAGCCACATTTTCATCATTTTCGTGAGGAAGCCTCAGGTAAAACGATGTGATCCAGATCCGGTTGTTTTGTTGTAATCCGTTTTCCCTTGCAAAAAACACTATAAAATGACATTTCTTGTTCTAATATAATCAAATTTCAAGAATCCCTTGCAAAAAATAAGGTAAAGTGGACATTCGCGCGCGCAAGACGAAATCCTTCCAAAACCTTAGTGTTCGGAGCGATTTTAACATAAAAACATCAAAAAACCAATGGTTTTTCAACAAAAAAATGTCAAAATCTCATCCCGCGCGCTCTTGCGGATTCGTAGGAAACCCAACACTTTTTAAACATTTCTGTCAAACGGGCTTTTGCGAGCAACTTTTTCGAACTTCTGCGACAACGGTTGCGCACCTGCCAGGGCCATCATCCCTGTCAAATAATACCATGCGGGACACATTCGTTTTTTCTTCGCGCGCGCACGCCGTCGTCGTCGGCCGCGGGGCCCTGAATAGTAGCCACGGTCGTCCGCATGCCACGAAGTGAAGTGTCCGAACGTCATAGGGCGGGAAGCTGGGTGTGGGTGGTGGCGAAGAGTCGTGTGGATATTTGGTAGAGCTTGCACTGCCCCCCCCACAAAGTGGGGGTATTGGCTGGCGTCGCATGAAAACCCTGGCACTGGTGAGAACACTGAGCGTTCGGGTAAAGTGATTGTTGTTGTTGTTGTTGTTGGTGGTGTTGTTGTTGTTGATGACGGTGTTGTAGTTGTTGTTGATGATGTTGTTGTTTTTGATGTTTTGTGCAGGGAAGTTCTGGACATTTGTTCCGCCTCTCAGAAGTGCTCGTTTTCAGATGGCTCCACAAAGGGTCTGGGCCATTTCTAACGTGGCCCCATAAACCCACATGAGCTCCCAGACAGCCCAGGACGGCACCATAACAATCTCGGAGCCGAGAGAAATTCCCAGAAGCAGCAGATACCAGCCGCAGCGAATCAATCAACAGCAAGCAACCGCAGCAAAGAACATCAGCAAACATGATCAATCATCAGCTTGCAGCAGTCCGTAGTAGCGGTCAGCGACATGCGACAGCTAGCGGCAGCATCAGCACACGTGCACATCACCAGCACTAAGCAATAGCACGCAGCTTGATGCAGCAGGCACACATCAACAAGCAGCACGACACAACAGCAAGCAGAACACCCATCCGCAGCAAATACAACTCGCACATGTAAACAGCAGGCGGCAGCAACAGCAAAACATAAAAACGTGACTGGCAGTAGCGGCAATTATCATTGAGCAGCAGCAGCAGCAGCAACAGGAAATGAAGCAAGCAAGCAACACAACAGGCAATTATGCCTGCCCACAATCAGAGAGGCAGGCAACCAAGCTGTCGGGCAAGCATATTAGCAGCCACAGAAACAGACAAGCATGCTAAGCAAGGTTTTGGGCTGCTAGGCTTGCCAGGGCAGCACGCAAGCAGGTGCAGACAGACATAACCAGCCTGCAGCAGACGACAGCAGCGGCAGAAAGCAGCGAGCAACTGAAGCGCGCGTGTACAGCAGCAGTACAGCGCAGCAGTCATCAGCAATAAGCCACAGCAAGTGGCTCCCCGCAGCAGCAGACAGGCAGTAACTGCATATGTTGCAAGCTGAAACAAATGACACCAGCCAGGACCAAGCGGCAGCAAACAACAGCAATCGGAAGGGAGCGAACGGACGGGCAATCAGTGAAGCAAGCAAGCAGGCAAGCCGGCAAACAGACGATCCGTCAAACATGACATCGGGCCAACAGGCTAGCACCCAAGCAGGAACGTCGGGAAAAGAGTTGACAGGGCAGCAGGCAACTTAGCAGCCATGCGCTCATGACAGCACGCAAGCAGGTCAGCAGGCCAGCCAAGCAAGTGCAGGTGGGGTCAAGAGATTTCAGCGGTGCAGGGAGACTTGTCAGCAGCATCATGGCCAGCAGAAACAGGGCTAAGAACAGAAGTAGTAGCCACGAGCAGCCACGAGCAGCCATCAGCCACAAGCAATACATTGCTAGCAGCAAGAGCAGGCAGCAATAGCAAGCGGAGTTGGCAAGCAGCTGCAACACGCAGCAGCGGGCAGCAGCGACGAGCAGCAAGCAATCAGCAAACACGCATCAGCACGCACCAGCATCAGGTTGCAGCAAGCTGCAGCAAGCACCCGCAAACGGCAACGGGTGTCAGCAGGCAGAAAACCAAATAAAGGAACAGCCGCGGGTAACAGACCGCAGTAGCAGCACCGCAGCAGATGATGAGCAAGCAGCGGCCAGCAGCAACACGAAGGGGAAATTATCTGCCATTTCCAAACAATCGCAGGCGGTAGTGAGCCGCAGCGAGTTGAAGAGAAAATCATCATAAAGGCAGGCAAGCAGGCCGCAAGTTGCCAGGGCACCAATGGAGTAGCCACGCAAGCGGGACAGCAGGCAAGCAGTCAAACAGCCATTCCAAGCCTTGCACGCGAGTCATTGCTTGGGCGGTTGTCCACGGGTAAGCCCTATTCACCACCATCAGCTATAACTCTGGGATCAGCGCGTGCGGGAAAGGAGGGCAGTGGCAGCGGGCTTTGTCGCTGCTCAGCGAGATGTGGAAGGCGAAGTTGAAGCCCACTGCCACTTACTACACTTGAATCTGCATGGCGTGCAGGATCAGTCCGCGGCGCTCCGGAACGCTTCGGCGCAGCATTCTCCCCTCGCGCCTCGCCTTTCCTCCTCTCCCGCCTCCCCACCCGCCCCCCCCCCCCCCAAGCGGCCCAGTCATTCCCCGGGCTCTCGGTTGTGATACCCCACCCTCCTGTGTGTTGCGTGATTGCGGGCCCCGCCCGCTCCGGCCGCCTGAGGCCCCGCCTTCCTGTGCCCCTGGCTGTCCTGTGCCGCCTGAGGCCCCGCCTTCCTGTCTCCCTAATTGAAGCTGTGCGTAGCCCGCCTAGCTTTTAGCGGAAGAGGCTCGCTCTCGCCCCGCAGATCAAAAAGCGTGTTGCGTGATGGCTTCGCGTCCGCCGCGCCGCGCCCGATCGCTTCCCCCTCCTGCCTCTCCGAGCCTGCGCTCGGCGCCTCGCTCGCCTCGCCGCGTGCTGGCTCGGATGGCGTCGCTGAGGTTGCCAAGGCCTCTGTCGCAGGCCTAGAGATTGACACCAGCACCAAGATCGGCGGTGTTGCATCCACCAGGGGAAGAAGATCCCGATCTCGGTGGTGGTGGTGGTCATATTCTGGCGTCCAGGGTGACCGAAACATGATCACCAGCACCGAAATCTGGGATCACCTGTGTTGGTGTTGGTGCCCATTCCCAGCCCTCCAACTTTGCTCCACGGATGCATCGGGACTATGTCTGAGGACACTCCCTCGCCGAGCGCGTTCCACTACTCGCAAAGTGCCCGCTTGCAAAGTGCCGACTCGCAAACGTCCAGAAAGTATGCCTTCCTTCATGTCATATATCGTGCCCCCCCCGCGGCGGATCCAGGCAATTTGCGAGTAGTTGATCTGCGAGTAGTGGAACGCGCTTGCCCACTCCGGCATCCCTGGCACGAATTGTTGGATACCGTGGCTACCGTCACTTCCGTGGGGCACCGTCCGATTGTGGATCCCGATTGTTCGTGGCGTGCTGTGCTGCAAGAGGCTGCTGCTGGGCTGGGTGTTGCTCGAGCTTCCGAGTTCAAGGGTAAGTCTCTGCTGGCTGGAGGGCAGCCGATGCCGAAGTATCGCCCCGATGACGATCCTATCGGCATCCTCGAGGCCTAATAGCAAGGACGATGTTAAGTTTCAAACCAGATTTCACGTTTTGTTCGAGGCCGTTGTGGTTGGTTTCTGCCGATGTCCTTGCGTTTGGCCCTAAGGATCTGCTGGGGCCGAAGCTGACAGTTTCGCGGTCATATACATGCCTGGTCGAATGCGTCACCTGGGGTGCATGTTTCGGAAGCGGGACCTGCGGGGCATCTTTCCTGACGTTGGAAACTGGGAATTCGTTTTCCTCGGAGCGGGATTTCCAATATTGGTTCGTTTCACGTGGTTCATGATGAATGCATTCATGCGGAGAAAGACGGGTGTTCGCTCTGGGCTGATCTTTCCCGTGCTGTTCTTCCCCGCGTCCGCGTCCTCGCCCCGTGTGCTCTCGCCGCGCGTTGTGCGCAGCGGTCGTTTCCCTCCTCCTCGTCCTCTCCTTCTCCTCCTCCTCCTCCTCCTCCTCCTCCTCCTCCTCGCCCGCCGCCTCCTCCTCATCCTCGTCCTCGTCCTCCTCCTCCTCCTCCTCCTCCTCCTCTTGCTCCGTAGTTCGTGACACGTTCGTTGCGTGCTGCCGCCCGTGCAGGCCCGCACGACGTGCGCTGTCACGGTGCACTCCCCAGAGCGTTGGCTGGGATCCAGCGTGGGACGTCTGGTGAGGAAGAACACGACTTCCAAGCGCAGCCGTTTTCTCGCTCGTGCCGTACGTTGTCGGCCTCGTCCCGACGCCTTTCAGCCTGTCTTTCGGCGTGTGGCGGCATCCACATTTTGGCGCCAGTTGTGGTAGCCTCCGAGGGACCTCTGGTGAGGAAGAAAACGGCTTTCAAGCGCAACCTTTCTCGCTCGTGCCGTACCTTGTCGGCCTCATCCCGACGCCTTTCTGATGGGCCTGTTTTCCGCCACCGCCGCCATAAGTTGGAGGGGGAGGGGTCCTCCTTTGGGCCGTTTTTGGCGCCTTACGGGGGGCCTATTGGGCCCTTATTTTGCTTCTGTTGGGCCATCATTGGACCATCGGACGCAAAAAGGCGAGACGTAACCGACCAAGTGTTTTTTTCGATTGGTTTCCGAAGGATGTTTGCCTCTTGTGGGGGTTCTCATGGGGTTCCGAGACAATTCGAGTCGGTATGTGGCTTTCGTTGGGCCTCTTGGAGGTATGCTGGAAGATACCTTGAATCATCGTCTGTGAGCTGGAGCCACCCTGGAAACACACTTCCCCAAACCGCTACAATATGCGCCACATTCTGCCAGAGAGGCCTCAGGAGGGCTTCCGCAGAGCCCTGGCCCTGGACTCCCCCAGGCGACGCCTCAACGATTTCCCACAGGCCCTGAAAATGGGTCCGAACAGATATCTGAATAATCGTTCCTCTTTCCATTCTCTTTCTCCTGCTTTTCCTCCATATCCTACATCCTCCCCCTTTCATCTTCACTCCTCCCGCGAGCCCCAACGCGCTCAACATTTTACGCGCGCGCACACGCACCCACTCTAGCAGATACCGATGCACGTCATCGTCGAATGTCACTTCGGTTTGGAAACATGCAGGGGGCTTAGAGGAACATACGAAGTGGGGGCATGAGAAGGCCCAGAAGGCAAAATGGAGGAGCGGAGAGGGACAGGATCAAACCACAACCCAGGAGGAGGAACAGTGACAGGCTTTCGAGTGCGACTGCTATCCCTAGGAAGTCTGGCAACATTGCGTAATTCGCGGGCTTTTCTCCTTTGCGTTCCTAGGGCCGTCCACTCCTTTGGAAGCAGGTCTCCTAGATACCCGCTCCATCTGCCTGCCGTGAAGTGCATCTACGTGTGCACCCTGGTAAGCTACAACGCTGGGATTAGTGCGTGCGAGACGGGCGAGCAGTGGCAGCGGGCTCTGGTGCTTCTCAGCGAGATGTGGGAGGTCAAGGTGAAGCCCGATGTCATATAGGTAGCCCGCAAATGGCGAGCAGTACCTTCTCCCGATGGGGGTCGTATCGGGTCTGGCCTGTCCCCAGGCGGTCCCAGGGGCATTTGAGCGCGCCGAAGGCATCTTTGGGAGGCGCCTGGGGTGATCCAAGTTCTCAGCGAGGGGATTCTGAGATGCCCCGACAGACGTCCCCGACAGACGTCAAAGACGGCTCCTGGATGCCCGAGGTTTACAAGTTGCCTTCAGACATTTTTATTATGCCCCAAGGCGATCCGCGGAGACCTTCCACGACGCGCAACAACGTGCACATCCAATGGTGTGTTCACTATCTCTCGCGACCCGCCACGTTCCCTCACAGGAGAGTTTCGAGACGGGCTCCACAGCTTCCCCCCGGCGCCGGAGAGGCGCCTCAGAGGTCTCGAGAGGGCCCCGGCCCTCCCAAGATGGCCCAGGCCTGCTCTGCCTGGCCTCCAAGCCAGCCCCGAGGCGTTTCCATGGTCTAAGGCCGCTCCAAGAGCTCCCCAGACCGTCCCCACGCCTCCAACATTGCGAGACAGAAGCCCCGAGTGACGCCTATGTAGCCCTAAGAGGGCCCACGAGGACCCTAAGTGAGCCCAAGCGGGCCCAAGCTAGCCCTGAGAGCATCCCACGGTCCTGATCTGTGCAGAGCCCGTGGAGCCTGTGCAGAGTATGATACCAACACGGTCAGTGCAGAGACCCAACGTCCATGAGGCCGCCTGCTGTTCTGCTACGTAAGCATGTCCGACTGTTCAGGACTAAGCGAAGCACAGGCTCGCATTAGTCAGCTACAGCGCTGGGCTCAGAGCTTGCGAGAATGGCGAGAAGTGGCAGCGGGCTTTGGCTCTGCTCATCGAGATGCGGGAGGTGAAGGTGAAGCCCAACGTCATATACCTCATATTTACAGCCAGGACGATAAAAGGCAAGGAGCAGTTTGGGTTCGGAAACGGAGCTCGAGTTTCCTCGGATTCTTCCATTGCTGCTTCTCTAGCGTTTCTTGTTCACGCGAGCACTCTGGGGGCCCAAAAGGGTTCCTTGTAGCGTTCCTTGTAGCGTTCTTTGTAGCCTCGTTCCTTCTAGGGCTCCTGCACGCCTCGTTCCCTGTAGCGCTCCTTGTCTCAGCAGCCCGTCTGTCGTCCACGATGCCGGCAGCCAAGCGTGCGACATGACTGGGTATAGCCAGGACCCCGGTGAAGGGGAGCCGGTTAGTGATCGGGTCCCGAAGCCCCACATATACACACACACACACACACACATATATATATATATATCGATTCGATCGCTAAACCAGGTCTGCCGTAGTTGGTGCATTTTCGGGTGACGGCAATTCCTGTTAGTGAAATGGGACGGGGTGGGGGCGTCCCCGATTCGGGGGCCCCCAAACGGAGTGGTGACCACACCGTGTGGTGAGTCGGTGGGGGTTCGGGGTCACCGTACGGTTTTGGGACTCGGGTCGTTCTCCGAGGACGTCTCGGGCGACAGGGGCCTCCAGGGTCCCCAAACCGTGCGGTGACGCACCGTGCGGTGAGGTCTCTTGGGGTTCCGAGGCCACCGCACGACCTGTCACCACACGATTGTGGGACCCCCAAACTCGGAAGCCGGGCAAGGGCTGCAAAATCCGTGGCTGCTAAAATCGACCTCTGGGAAGTTGTCTTCGTCTTTCCGGGAAGAGCCCGTTGACTGTTTCGCGTGCCGCGCCTCATTCCCGGAAGGAGAAATGATTTCTCCTTCCGGGAGGGCCGTTTTAGCAGCCACGGTTTTAGCAGCCCTCGCCCAGCTTCCGACAACCAGATCACCAAAACAGGCTCCACTGAACCCAGTCCCGCCGTCGCCCGACACGAGTTCTGCTGCTTCCATAGGGGGCCACATGCGAACCCCACCCCTACCCCCAACGATTTCTGAGGGGGGAGGGTGGGGCTCACGTCGCTCGGGAGCTCCCGAGCGAAGGGAACCTCATCCTCCCCCTCAGAAGTCGTGGGGGGTAGGGGTAGGTTTTCGCATGCGGCCCCCTCACGAGGGGAAGGGGGGTGTCGCGGAGGAGGAGGTGGAGGAGGAGGAGGAGGAGGAGGCGGCGGGGGAGGAGGAGGAGGCGGCGGGGGAGGGGGGGGAGGAGGATGAGGAGGAGGAGGAGGAGGAGGAGGAGGAGGAGGAGGAGGAGGAGGAGGAGGAGACCCCGTCCCGCCGTCGCCCGACACGAGCTCTGCTGCTTCCGCGGCCCGGCCGGGGCGCCGCCCGGGCGGCCGCGCCCGGGCCGCGCCGGTCGAGCTTGGGCGCGCCGGGTGCGGGGTGCGGAGTGTTGGGCCGCCGCGGGTCGGCCGCGGGTGTGGCTTCGGGCGCCCCAGGAGGTGAGCGTTTTCTGCTCCTCCTCTTCTTCTGCTCCTGCTTCTGCTTCTTCTTCTTCTTCTTCCTCCTTCTCCTCCTCCTCTTCGGCAAGGTGATCGGCGTGCGTGGCGCCGTGATCACGATGAAGGTGCCGCTCTGAGCGGCGACGGCGGGGGCCCAGTCTTGCGGCTGAATGCACTGCTCCGCCCCCCTACGCCGCTCTCTCTCTCTCTCTCTCTCCTCCTCCTCCTCCTCCTCCTCCTCCTCCTCCTCCTCCTCCTCCTCCTCCTGCGCCCCAGAAGGTGATCGTCTTTTGATCGTTTTCTGCTCCTCCTTCTCCTCCTCCTCCTCTTTCAAGCAGTGGCGAATCGTCCTGGCTCGCTTATAGCCCTGCCAAGCAATTGTCTAATAACCTTTTTGTGGCTTTCGTGAAATGTTCCTAGAACACTTCTGACTGGGACTGTCTTGTTTATCACATCGGGTTTATGTTATAAGAACATTGTTTTTTGTTCTTAGAACATTTCGTGGTAGGACTATAGGGCTGGGTTCTAAGAGCATTTCGTGGTAGGACTATAGGAATGCCGGGTCGGTCGGTCCCTGCTCAATTCTTCTTATTATTCTTCTTCTTCTGCTTATGCTTCTGCTTCTGCTTCTTCTTCTTTTTCTTCTTCCTCCTCCTCCTCCTGCGCCCCCGAAGGTGGTCGTCTTTTGATTCATTGCTTTGGCGATCGGCGCGGGCCCCCCTCCTTCCTCCCCCCGCCCCCATGGAGTAGATCTTAATAAGAAAACGCTCGCAATATGGTTGAATATCAGCCTCCAAGAGTAGGGGAAGAAACAATGATCATCGGGGAAAAAGGAACCCGTGACCCTAATAACGCAGTGAAGGCGTGGCCTCACTGATGTTCCCATCTGTGCAGCAGGGATAAGGCATGTGGGCGGTTTGGTTTGTGACGTCTGCAGGAAAAAGAGCCCCTGTCCCTGATGGTTTTTGCCCTCCTGACTTAGCTCCCCTCCCAAAGGCTTGAAGGGTGCTCTCTTGGTTACTCCAGGTTTCGTAATGAAAGGGAGGGGGTCTGGACCCTCCAAGACAAGCCATTTCAGGCCTCCCCCGTGGGGGAACCTTCCGAAACATCGTCCCCAGACCCCCCCCAGGCCCTCCAAGATAGCCTGGAAGAGACCACCCCCGAAATGAGACCCCCCTCCCTTTATTACGAAATCTGGAGTACCCAAGGCATCGCCACGAGCACAGAGGCTCGAGGTCTCCGGGCGCGCCTCGTCCTGTCCGGACCTCGGGGAGAGGCTCCCCGTCGCCGCCGCCGGGTGCCCTTCCAAGATTTTTTGGCCAGAGCGTGCCCCAGCAGAGAGCCAGCGGCGGAGCTTCGGGGCCGCCGCGGATCGGCGCCCCTCCCTTTATTACGAAATCTGGGGTACACTCAAATTACATGAGCGTGCAGCCTCGGAGGTGTGCGCGCATCCCTCGGGCCGGCGCTGGGCCCCCCTCTGGCGGTGCCCTGCGGCGCGAACCCAGCGCCGACCCGAGAAGCTCGTGCGGGCCTCCGAATTGTATGTGTATGTTGTTTTCCACTCCTCCTCCTCCTCCTCCTCCTCCTCCTCCTCCTCCTCCTCTTCCTCCTCCTCCTCCTCCTCCTCCTCCTCCTCCTCCTCGTCCCCCTCCTCCTCCTCCCCCTCCTCCTCCTTCTCCTCCTCCTCCTCCTCCTCCTCCTCCTCCTCCTCCTCCTGTCGACGGCTCAGGATGCTCCAAGAGGTGGAGCGGGCGCACGAGGGGCACCAAGGGAGAGGTCTTGAGAGGCACCAGAGAGAAAGAGAGAGAGAGAGAGAGAGAAATAGATAGAAACAAAGAGAAAGAGAGGCCTAGATTAGTGGGGCCTTTCTGGAAGAAAACACGTGTGGGGAGAGGCGCCAGATCTTTTCAGAACGCGACGACCACGGTCTTCTCTCGCCCAGAATGGTGGGAATTCGCAGGTCGAACACACGTTTGGGAAGGTGTCGGCGGCGAGCCAGGGGGGGAATTGAGAAGTGGTGGGCCTGCTCAGAAGGCTCGGGGGTCCTCGGGCCTTTGAGGTGTTTTGTGCCTGGAGCTTTTCAGCAGGAGCGAGAGTTTCTGAGAAGTCCCGCCGCCTTCCGAGAAGGCCCTGTCCTTCTCACCTTCTCTCTCGCTCGCCATCGACAAGGGGCACCAAAGGCAGTCCCGAAGACATCCCCGAGCAGAGGCGCCATAGGAACCCCCACAAGACCATCGAGACATCAGCGGGAGGGCCAGGAGGCCCTCCAGGGAGGCCAGGCTCATTCACAAACCACAGGCAACATATTGTCGGCGTCGCCCCATAATACTTCTACTATATGTGCGTGACCCCCCCGGGGGCGATGCGCGCACCGAGACAGGTTATGTGCGCCGTGGCGGGCGTTTTCTGGCCACACCGCTCGGGAAATTATGCACTACAAGATGGGTATACTATAGGTTTGGGTCGGACGCGCGCCTCCAAGGAGAACGTACAGTACTAGTACGTCTTTGTGCGTCCCATATTGTGCCGTGTGCTGGAACACTGGTCGCTTGCCGCCGAAAGTAGACGCGCCTCTTAAAACCCCATGGCCGCCACGATGTGCGGGGCATCGCGCTCGGGCCTCCCAAGGGAGGGCCGGCCGGGCGCTTTGCGGGGGCCCGTTTTGGCTCAGACGGTTGGCAGGTCTCGGGCATAATTTTCAAGCAGTGGCGAAACGTCCTTGCTTGTATAGCCCTACCAAACAAGGTTCTAATAATCTTTTGTGGTTTTCACGAAATGTTCGTAGAACATCGCTGGCTGAGTCTGTCTTGTTTTATCACTGTTTCTTCGAACTTCTTTTGGGTTCTCAGAACATTTCGTGGTAGGACTAGATGCCGGGGTCCCTGCTCAACTGCTCGCGTTGGGGGGGCAGACGTCTCTTTCGAGAGCCTCGTGGTCGCCGCGATGCAGCAGGCATCGCTGGAGAGGTTCCCGAGTGGACCCAGGACAGCCCCTGGACGGCCCCGGTACCCCTCCGAGTGCCCCTGGAGAGGCCCCAAGGCACCTCAGGAGAGCCCCGAGACAGATTGAAGCGACCCCCAGAGGGCGCTAGGACGGCCCGAGGAAGCCCGTGGAGTGCCCCTAGCCGCGCCAAGACGGCCCCGGAGGCCCGCAGAGCCGCCCGCGGAGCCCCGAACTGGCCGCAGGGGGGCCCTGGGCCAGACCGGGAGGCTCCGAGAAGGCCCGGGAGGCCCCGAGGATTTCCAGGGGTATCCAGGGACCCTGAAGCTGCCGGCAGCAGGGCCAGGAGTTCCTCCTCCTCCTCCTGTTCCTCCTCCTCCTCCTCCTCCTCCTCCTCCTCCTCCTCCTCCTCTCCTCCTCCTCCTCCTCCTCCTCCTCCTCCTCCTCCTCCTCCTGGGTGCCTTGGGCTTCTTGGGTTTCGATGACGTTGCTATGGAATGCGTGACGTTGCCACACCAGCAATTCGTGGACGTTCCAGGGTCTCAGGGTTGGGTTTCCTGTGTGGAAGGTTTCTTCCGGTCGGGCTCCTACTGTGGCAGAGCCGGCAGCATCGACACAGCCGGCCGCAGCGCAGCAGGCAGTAGTTCGCAGCATCACGGCCAGCAGCAGCAGAGCTGTCAGCAGCAGCCAGGATGAGCTGGCAGCAGCGAGCCGAAGCAAACGGCAGCAACAGGCATCGGCGTGCAACAGCAAGCACAGGCAAGCAGCAGCAACCAGCAGCTATCAGTATCAGTCAGCAGCAAGCAGCAGCGATCAACAGCTGGCCACAGTCAGAAGCAGGCAGCGACAGCCAGCGGCAGCAAGCACTGGCAAACGGCCACGGGCGGACAAATTATCCTGGCGAAGGACCCAACCGTATGTAGTTGTGAGTAACGCGCTGTGGGTGCCGCTTTCGGTGGATCTTCCTGTGGAGCCACGAAGCTCGTGAGGGACGTGCCGTAATGGGTGGGGGAGACGCATGCGGGCGGTGCCACTGGGCCTTCGGTGGGGCTCCCTCTGGGCCACGAAATGCTGTACTGGGTGGTGGCGGACGCATGCGGGCGGTGCCCTTCGCTGGAGCTCCCGATGAGGCCACGAAGAGCTGTACTGGTTGAGGGAGACGCATGCGGCCGGTGCCACTTGGGGTCTTTCTGTGGAGCTCCTTACGGGGCCACGAAACGCTGTACTGGGTGGTGGCCGACGCATGCGGGTGGTGCCACTGGGGCCTTCGGAGGAGCTCCCTATGGGGCCACGAAAAGATGTATTGGCAGAGGGGGACGCATGCGGGCGGTGCCACTGGGGCCTTCGGTGGAGCTCCTTGTGGGCCCACGAAATGCTGTACTGGGTGGGGGGAAACATGCGGGTGGACCACTGGAGCTCCCTACGGGGCCACGAAACGCTGTACGAGGTGGGGGGGACGCTTGCGGGCGGTGCCACTCGGGCTTGGTGGAGCTTCCAATCAATGGAGCCGCGAACTCCAGTACTGGGTGGTGGACGACGCATGAGGACGGTGCCACTGGGGCCTTTGGTTGAGCTCCCTACGGGGCCACGAAACTCTGTGTTGGGTGGTGGCTGACGCATGCGGGCGGTGCCACTGGGACCATCGGTGGAGTTCTCTGTGGGGCCACTAAACGCTGTTCCGGGTGGTGTCTGACGCATGCGGGCGGTGCCACTGGGACCTTTGGAGGAGCTCCTTGTGGGCCCACGAAACGCTGTACTGGGTGGTGGCTGACGCATGCGGGCGGTGCCACTGGGGCCTTCGGTGGAGCCCCCTTATGGGCCACGAAGCGTTGTACTGGGTGGTGGCTGACGCATGCGGGCGGTGCCACTGGGGTCTTCGGTTGAGCCCCCTTATGGGCCACGAAGCGCTGTGCTGGGTGGTGGCTGACGCATGCGGGCGGTGCCACTGGGACCATCGGTGGAGTTCTCTGTGGGGCCACTAAACGCTGTTCTGGGTGGTGGCTGACGCATGCGGGCGGTGCCACTGGGACCTTCGGAGGAGCTCCTTGTGGGCCCACGAAACGCTGTACTGGGTGGTGGCTGACGCATGCGGGCGGTGCCACTGGGGCATTCGATGGGGCCCCCCATGGGGCCGCGAAGCGCTGTACTCGGTGTTGGCTGACGCATGCGGGCGGTGCCACTGGGACATTCGTTGGAGCTCCCCATTGGGCCGCGAAGCGCTGTACTCGGTGGTGGCTGACGCATGCGGGCGGTGCCACTGGGCCCTTTGGTGGAGCTCCTTATGGGGCCACGAAAGGTGTGAGGGTGTGCCGAAACGGTGGACATGCGGAGGGCAGAGGCAAGGGATAGGAGGAGGGGGAGGGAGGAGGAGGACGAGGACGAGGAGGCTGAGGATGAGGAGGAGGAGGAGGAGGAGGAGGATGAGGAGGAGGAGGAGGAGGGAGAGGAGGAAGGAAGGAGGGAACGCGGGGACCGTCTCTTCAAAACGAGGGCCCAGCACCACAGGATGGTTAGGAAAAGCCATGGGGACCGCGCCGACGTGCTGTCGTGGACGTGGATTCCATGGGCCATCCCTTGTCAGCTGCACCGCTGGGATTAGTGCGTGCAAGAAAGTTGGGCAGTGGCAGCGGGCGTTACTTCTGCTGGGCGAGCTGTGGGAGATTCGACTGGAGCCAGACCTTTCGAGCTACGTTGCTGGGATCAGCGCGTGCGAGCAAGGCGGGCAGTGGAGGCCTGCGCTGTCTCTGCTCATCCAGTTGCGGGAGGTGGAGCTGGAGCCCGACGTAAAACATGTATTTTGATGCAGGGGATTGTGCACACACATTTCACGGTATACTCTTGCTGCTGGCGTTGTTACTTCTGCTCCGCTACGCTCGAACCGTGTGTGGTATACACCACCGTGCGCACGTCATTGAGGCATTGCATGTCGAAGTGCGTCACACCGTCCTGTAGCTAATCATACCACGGCGCGCCAGACTACAGCGCAGCATTGCTTCCCTCTGGCCAGCACAAGAGCAGCATTCGGAACGCTCGCTTTACATTTGTGTGCGAAGCTCACAGGTCGGCACTTGTCATCTACAGTGCCGTAGTCAGCGCGTGCGGCAAAGCTGGACATTGGCAGCAGGCGTTGTGGCTGTTCAGCGAGATGTGCGAGGTAGCGTTGGAGCCCAACGTCGTCAGCTACAATGCTGGAATCAGCGCGTGCGAGAATGGCGGAAACTGGCGTCTGGCGTTGTCGATGCTCAGTGAATTGCAAGAGGCAGCCTTGGAGTCCGTTCGCATCACGTACAATGCTGCAGTCAGTGCGTGCGAGAAAGGCGGGCGATGGCAACACGCGCTGTCGCTGCTCGGCGAGATGCGGAGAGTGAAGCTTGAGGCTGGTGCCATCAGCTACGATGCTGGAATCAGCGCGTGCGGGAAGGGAGTGCAGTGGCAGCAGGCACTGTCACTACTCGGTGCGATGCAGGGAGTGACACTGGAGCCCGACACCATCAGCTACAACGGTGGAATCGGCGCATGCGAAAAGGGCTGGCAGTGGCAGCAGGCACTGCTGCTGCTGAGCGAGCTGCGGGGAGCGGAGCTGGAGCCAACGGTTGTCAGCTGCAACGCTGGCGTCAGCGCGTGTGAAAAGGGCAGGCAGTGGCAGAGAGCCTTGTCGCTGCTCGGGGAACTCCTGCAAATGCACTTCGAGCCCCAGGTCGTCAGCTACAGCGCCGGCATCAGCGCCTGCGAGAAGTGTGGTCAGTGGCAGCAGGCGCTGTCGCTGCTCGGCCGCCTGTTGAGAGCGAGCATCGAGCTGGACTTCGTCGGCTACAGTTCTGGCATCAGAGCGTGTGCGGAAGGAAGGCAGTGGCAGCACGCTCTGTGGTTGCTCGGCGGGTTGCGGAGGTCGGCACTGGAGCCTGACGCATCTGGCTACGACGACGGGATCACTGCTTGCGAGGAGAGCGGGCGCTTGCAGCAGACGCTGTCGCTGCTCAGCGAGCTGTGA